TCACGGGATGCCTCTGAACAGAAGACCTCTCATGTGGGCCCCACCTCTCAAAGGTTCTACCACCTCCCAAAAGTGCCACACCAGAGACAAAGTCTCTAACATGTGGGCCTCGGGGGCCATTCTGTCTCCTATGGGTGCACACTCGGCTGGATGACCCAGCTGAGCTGCTTCCCATTGATAGATCTATGTCTAGTTTGTACCTACTGGGAAGATAGCTGTCCTGTTCTTGCATATGCCTCTCTGTGGAGTTGAGTATCACTTCTGACACATCACTAGGCCTTTCCGAGTGCCTTGGCCATTCCTTATCCTTACCACCAGCGTGGCTCAGCCCTGGTTGCTTGGATACACTGGGTGCTGGTGGTCTGTATAGTTGGATCCAACCAGGTGTCCTCTTGTTGACAGGTGGGGTTGGTTATGTGTGTATGTGTGTGAGCATGCCATGTTGTATAGAAGAGGTCAACTGTGAGTGTTGGTCCTCGCCTACCACTTCATGTGAGGCAATATCTCCTTGTTCTTTGCCATTGTGTACTCCAGGCTGGCTGGCCCACAAGTTTTGAGTGATTCCCATCTCTCCTTAACAGCACTGAACTTACAATGTGCCACTGTGCCCAGCGGTACATGTCTTCTGGGGATTTTAACTCAGGGCCTCATGCTTGCATGGCAAGCATGTTACCCACAGAACTATCTCCCCAGCTCCTTTTGTGCTTTGATTGGCATTTCCCTGAGGACTAAGTGTACTAACGATCACTTCCAGGTCTTATTGACCACTGTATTTCCTCCTTTGTGAAGTGTCTATTCAAATCTTTTGCCTATTTTTAAGAAGTAATAAGTTGTAAGAATTCTTCATAAATTATAGATACTAGTCCTTTTTCTATATTTTCCCCTGATTTGTGATTGCCTTTTGTTTTCATAACAGCAACTTTCAAGAGTCAGATCTTTTAATTCTTGTAAAAGGCAAATCGTGTGTGTGTGTGTGTGTGTGTGTGTGTGTGTGTGTGTGTCCTAAGAAGTCTTTGTATTTCTCTTCCAGTGGGAAGAGCACCTTTTCTTGTGCCCTCAGGTCTCCTGTGGACTTGTAAGAACTCTTTGTAGGGGTTTTGTTGTTGTTGTTCTTTTTTGTAGTTTGTCATTTTGAATGTTTATAGTGTTTTGCTGTGCAAATTTTCCTGCAGGTGTTTTGCAGAGTCTGGGGTCATGGAAATGTTCCACCATATTTGCATCTAGTTGGCTTATGAATTCAACATCAAGATCTTTGTTCCATTTGGAGTAAAGTGTGCAATGTTTTTTTGTTTTTGTTTTTTGTTTTTTAATGACTATCCTATTGTGCACTTATTTAAAAGTCCATTTTTGAGGCTGGAGATATAGGTAAGTAGTAGCCTAGCATGTGAGAAGCCCTGGGTTCTAACACCCTACAGGGAAAAAATCCACTGTTTGCTGATGATGTGAAGCTCCCCCCTGCCCCCCAATTATGGTTAAACTCTAGATTTCCTGAGGACTCTGAACTTTGCATCCCAGACTCCCTCTGTTCCGTAGGCAGCTACCTGTTGTCATGATGATGCCACCTCGCTGAGTTTTGGAAAGGTTTTGACACTTGTACTGAATATACAGGAGCAGGAGACCCTTGTGGCTATTTCTTCCTAACTACAGACATGGCTGCTCTAGCTGAGAAATGAAGCTTTTTGACTGCATTAAACTCGTAGACTAGCTTGGGGAAAGCTGGCATCCGTGCTTATCTTCGGTCTCAATGCACAGAGGGTAGTTCTCACGTATCCCCATTTTATTTTTGTGTCTCTGCTGAGGTGAGGTTCTTACAAGGTCTGCTGTGGGGCTACTCCGGACTTTCATTCCGTGAATGTCATACATTGGGCGTTAGGGTTCTTCCCTAGTGTCCGTCATTTGCTCTCAAAATATACTCAGCTCTAACATCCACTTCTGAATGGGATGTTGGAATACCTCTTTGTGTTAGATCTTCCTGTCTTTATTTTGCTGGGTTTTCTAGGTGTCGTTTGATATTGTCAGTAAACAAGGTCACATATTGCTTCCTTAAGATGGGACATTTAGAAAGCTTTATATTGGTCATTATCCTCTTTAAACAAACAAAAACCAGCACAGAAGCTTGTCCTGGTGGCTTGCACCTGTCATCTCAGCACTCAGAAGGCTGAAGCAGGTGGACTGCTGACAGTTTGAGGGTAGCTTAGGTTATTGAGGGAGATACTCTCTCAGAATAACCATGTCATGGTAGGAATCTGCACTCCTCCCTCACCAGCACCAGGCATTAACACTTAAGAAAAATCTCTGACAACTCCCCACGCTCTTCATTTACACAGAAGATTCTACTTGCCTCCCCATTCGGGCCAGTGCTGTCCTGGATGTGATTTGAACCCCACCAGTGGGCATGGCCAGGTTGTTTTAGTGGAGAGTCCAACTCTGGATCTAAGAGCTGGTTCTAGAAAATCTCCCAGTAGTTACGTAGTCTACCCCTTCTCCCTGATCTGCTGCAGAGTAAGCCTTTTGGGTGCCTTGCAGAAGTCTCTCCGAGGCCCAGGGTGGTTGCCAGCACATCCCCGCTGGTCAAGCCCCTTAAGAAGCTTGTCCAGGAGCCAAGAGGCTGACCAGGCTCCCTCCAGACCTGTTACCAGCTAGTCCCAAGTCCTTCTGGCTCTGTTAGGCAGGACACCCCTTCTCCACAGCTGAGCTCTGATGCAGTGGGTGATAAAACAAAAAGACTTCCTACCTAAGTCTACCTGTGAACATCTGCAAAGGATGCCACTCATTAGCAACCAAGGAGTCTGGGCAGAAGGTTCCAGGATACTGATACCATAGCCCACAGGGCTAACCATCACTGTTCTTCCTGACCTGGTACCTACTGCCAAGGCACCCTTCTCAATGTGCCCTTCCTGCATACAGCCTGTCCAGCCTTTTCTATACAGGGTTCCCAGCATGGCAAATTACTGGCTATGTGATCTCAAGCAAGTTGTCTTACCTCTCTGAGCTGTTTCCCTCCATACCTCACTGGCAAGATTGAGACATGAAGAGAATATTTGCATATAGGTTTGCATATAGCCCATTGCATGGGGGGGACTTCATGAATGTGCTTGTTAAATGAGCCAGTATGAATAGCTCATCACAGTGCAACCTTGGTGGCTCCATCTCCCTTACTTAGCCTTTAGATTCAAAAGACCAAATCAGGGGCTCTTTCAAGAGGTGAAGCACCTGCCTGGTGGGGAGCTGGGAGGAAAGTGGCAGGACCTCTAAGGCAGGTGACAAGTCCCCTTGCTCTCAGGCAGGGGCCTGTTAGAAATGGGGGGGCAGCATGGGAAATTCCCTTCCATGTTTCTTTCCACATCCTTGACAGCCACACTGTTGTAGCTGTAGCTGTTTACCTGCCTCCCACCAACAAGCCATTCCTTCCCTTAGCTCTATGAGGGCTGGAGTAGCCTTGTGCAATCCATTCTAGGAATTTTGGAAGGCGGAAGGCTTAGCTTTAGGGACCCACCCTCTAGGGACTGCAGGGTGCCCAGGGTACCAGGGTCCTGTTATGCTTGGGCTTATGACCTTGGGCCACTCCCTGCAGGATTTTGTCAGGAGTCACTGGGAGAGAGTCCTGTGGCCTCAGGGTGATCCTAGAGCTGGCCCCTCTATCCACACCCCCAGGCTCCTCAGGGATGCTGAGAGATAGAGGCAGGATGTGGTAGCCTGTGGTCTCTGCTTTCACCAGCTCACCTCGGGCTGCTTGGGAGGGCTTTTCTCAAGTGACAGCCAGCTCCCTTGCCTTAGTTACAGTGTCGGCATCATTCAGGGTGGACAGTAGGGCAGCCATAGGGTGACAAGTGCTCTGCTTCCAGGCCCCCAGCCCCTGCCCTTGGGAGCTGAGGTTCTAGAACACAGCGCATAGCTGGCTACCCAGTGGTATACACTGCCGGGCCCAGGGACTGGCTGGGTACACGGAGAGGGTGCAACCCAGCTGGCATAATCCCATTCACACAGTATGGTACAAGAAATGGGGTATGAGTCCTCAGGGACAGGGGAGCTGTGCAGATGGGGAAACCCATGCTGGGAGACACACGCAGTGCCCTTTTCTACCAATGGGAATGCTTGCTTCTGTTGTCATGGCAATAGCAGTTTGGTGCCATCTGTGGGCACTATGGGGCAGCAGAACCCCTCAGCTGAGCATCTCCCCTTCTCCACACAGATCTGGGACATGAGTGACGACGAGACCATCTGAGACAACTGCGCTGAGGGGCTCAGCCCTCGGGACTGGTGATCTGGGCCTTCAAGCCAAGGACTAGGCCACACCCTCTGCTGCTGAGTTCTGCCTTTTCCTACACCATCCCACCAGCTTGGAGTTCAATAATAACCTTGGCATCCAGGGCTCAGGTCCCTCCACGTGCAATGATTTCGTGCCCCCCCATCAAAAACTGATTAAGTCTGTAGTATCCTCTTGCCTTGGCCCCTAGGGATGGCAGTGGGCACCTGGCTCAGCACGGAGCAAAAGAGGACGTGTTAGGAACCAGAGTGCCTGCCGTGAGCCCTGGGCAGCAGTGAGGGCTGAGCTCATTACCCCAGGGGGCCACGGAGGACATGGGCCCCTTCTGAGCTTTGGGCCCCTTGTGGCGACACCCTGTTCAAGGGAGGGGGCGGGGAGCAACTGCCAGAGCCCTGTGCTGGTAGAAAGCAAGGGGTACCCACAGCCCTGCTTGACTAGTGTGGGTGAGCTCATCTGTCCATCCTGCAGTCATACGGGATCCATGTGGGTTAACGATGAGGTGAGGCTGGTTCTTCCTTTCATTCTGTGTGGTTGGAGGCACCCAGGGATGGGGACGTGTGGTCACCTGACCTGAGTAGAAGGACACACCTCCCAGAAACCCCCTCCACCCTTTATGCCTTCACCTTTTGTTTCAGCAGACTTCAGTAGGGAAGGACTGAAAAGACCTTGGCCTAAGGTAGACACTGCAGTGAGTGGCCCTACATGCCACATGCAAGAGTCCACACACAGCCTGTGGTTTAAGAGCACTTTATTGTTCTTAAGGCTACTTTTAAGTACAAAAAAAAGATGGCCTGCCAAACCTTTTTTTTTTCTTCTTCCAGGAAAAACAGGCCACAGAGATTGGTATATTACAGATTTACAGACATGGAGAGGGGTCAGCATGGCTTGACTCTGGGGAGAAAGGTGGCACTCTCCTCAGGTGACATGTGATGTTCCACTGCCCCCCCTCCAGGGCATGGCCTATCCCAGATAGGTCAGCGTACCGGGGACTACCGGCACTGCCGTCCCCCTCCCAGAGTGATGACCCCGCTCACTGGCAGGTGTCTGAAGCCCGTTGCCCACAGAGCCGGTCCGCGGTGCGGTTGTTTTCCTGTGACAACGCTCAGTAGCCTGTAGCAATAACAAACTAGTGGCTATTAATGCGGACGCAGTGTTCTCATGGAGTGACTGTTCCTGCACCTTTACAGACACATCTACAACAAAAAAAGATCAACTTTTTTTTTTTCCAAACAAAAATATGAATGATTACGATAGGAAAGGGAAAAATTAAATAGCTACATATCATTAACAAATTAATTGTTCTTCAAAAAATACCTACAAATTTCTCTGTACATTCTTTACGCACAGCGTAATGATGGTCTTTAAAGTTACCTATATAAAAAAAGTGTTCTCAACAAAATTTTTTTTTCCTACAGAAAATATAGGGGCCCGAAGGCCAAAGCTTGGAGGCCCAGGAGAGTGAAGTGAGCTGTGTGTGGGGGAAGGAGGGCTATCCGCTTTTGTAAAGGCCTGTAGCCACCCTGTGACTATGAGAACCAGTCCCCACCTTTTCACCGGTGCCAGTTCCCCAAGTTCAACAGCTAACCTGTTTTCCTCCTCCTGAAAGTCAGCCAGCCCCACGGGCTCCTGTATGTGGGAGTCCATAATGCCTTGCAGGGGTGGCCCTAGCCTGTGTCACCTGGCCAGGTGATGTCCTAGCTCTTTAGCAGGCCAGGCTGGGGGACAGAAATGCTCACAGCCAGGAGGAGCAGCAGCTCTGGGGCATCACCAGCCATGTCTGTCCTGCTTGCTTCTAATGTCTAGTTAGCTATTAATAGAGCAGGCACGAGTGATGCAGGAATAAGGGTATAGTTGGAGGAATGTGTACTGCCTTGGCCCTGGATACACAGGAACGTGCACAAAGCCCCATGTTGCAGACTGTCAGATTTCTGCTGTTTGGCCAAGAGTTGGAAGGGAGCAGTCTGTGTATCAAGGAGACGGAAGAACAGAACCAAGTCCCCAGCCCAGGGTGCAGAAAAATCAGCCCACAAATGGCCCCAGGCTGCCACACCCACTGACTGGGTACAGCTAATCTCAAGGGCTCCTAGTGGGTTAATGAATGTCGAATACACATCTTAGAGCACAACTGTACCAGCAGTGAGTATCTAGGATTGTAACTGACAAGATAAGCTAATTCTGACAGGAAGCCAGTCAGTACTATGGTCTGCGTTTACAGTTAATAGAAACCAGCTATTTTTCTTCTCCTTTAAGACACACACCACATCGGAAGCACTAGGAACCTCCAGCCTCGGCACTAGCCTCACACACTGCAGTGTTCAGAGAAGGTAAATGCCCATGGTGGGGGAGTCTGCAGTCCAGTTTCGAGCACCTCAAGTCTAGAGAGGAGGATCTAGACCCCACCAAATTCAGCAACAACACAAGCACACATGGTCACAAGTGTCCCTCAGCAGTTTGCCCTCAGCACTGGCATCACACTGGAAGCTGCCCAATGGGCAGCCTTGCCTTCCTCTATAGTGCAAATCAGACACAACAGTTCTCTTCAAGCAGGCGTGCGCATAGATACTGAACCACACACCTGGTCTCAAGAAGCAAAACAGAGCACAAAGCACCCAGATCCCCATGACATCATGGCTTGTGACCGAGAAAGGGCTGCAGGGTCCCAGCTGCCGGGCCGGGCCACAGACCTGCAGAGGTTTCTTTGGTAACCGAGGCAGAGAGCGAGGATGCTCCACTGGACCAATGCTCCGTGCGGTCCCTGTTGCCATGTTGAGGCCCCTTGTACAAACACCAAGCAAGTACAAAAACAGAACAAAAATCCAGACAACATGGTTTTGCGAATAAACCCCCCCTCCCCCCCCCCCAAGGGTTTTTTTTTTTTTTTTTTCTTTCTTTCTGTTTTTTAAGCACTGACTGTTCAAAGCTCAGGCAAACCATGCAGATCCCTGTGTGATTAGAGGGTAGCAGCCCCTTCAGGAGACCACAGAGGGGGAGTGACTATGGCTGACCATGTGGGCAGAAGGGCTGGCAGGCTGGCCCCTGCGTGAGGCTGACTCTGGGCTACTGGACGCGCTGTCCTTGGCGGCTTTGATCTGAAGCCATGTGTCACCTAGAGCTTTGGTGAAGTGGTCGTCCACAGAGCCAGTGATGGACACAGAGTTGGGTGCCGGCTCAGGCTCCTTGTAGTTCTTGCCCAGGCTCCGACGGAAGTGCTCCTCCACCACAGGGTCACAGGTGGCAGTTGCTGCAGGGGAGAGATCAGAGGACAAATGGCTTCAGGGGTGTTGGATATACAGCACCATGAATGGGCCAGGGTACCCTAGTCAGTGGCACTCTGGGGCAGGTCCCTCCCACAGGTTTGTCTCTAACCACATTGGGTTGAGGTTCCAAACCAAAGACTCCATAGCACTAAATAAACAGTGGTGGATCCTGTCCTCCCCTCAGCAGGAGCTTGAGACCCTTAAAGGTCCCCACCTGAGCATGGCCAGTGCACATGTATATTAACACTGCTTCAGGGAGAGAGGCTACAGCCCATAGCTTGATCTAGGCCTCTCGGATGCCAAAGAGGGTCACTCACCGCTGGGTGGTCTCCGGTAGTTGGCAGGCCCGGACGTGGCACAGCCGCTATGCGCAATGGGGCAGTGTGAGAGGTTGCAGTTGCGGGCGCCTGCAGATGCACAGGTGATCACGGAGGGCCGGTTCTGTGGGAGGAAGAAGGGGCCAGCTCCTTAACCATCCATCCACTGGTCTGAGCAGGCTCTGCCAGGAGGCCCAACTCCTCCTGGCAGGGATCTGCTCAACGCCCAGTCGCTCCTGGAGCTCAGGAGAACAGCAAATCTGGAGCGGGAGATGGGGTGGCAGTATGGTCCCTTTCTAGCAGTGACCCAGGCATCGGCTCAGTTGCTGGAAGTCAGTGTGTCTTCCTGGGCCTGCACTGGGAGCAATTACACATGCTAACGATGACAGCTGGCATGCCTTGCTAGACCACCTCCTGGTACATCACCTTTCACACAGGGTATCCACCCTGGGCTGCTAAATATGTGTGTGAACTAGGAGGCTGGGCCACTGGGATAGGTGTCAGGTAGTGCTGGAAAGATTCACACATTCACACAGGTGAGGCTAAGGTAGCACAGGGATGCCTGCTCCTAAAGGCAAACACTGACACACGGCTTATCCTCTGGGCCTGGCCCCTTCCACCCTGTATATGAGTTTGGGGCAAACACCACCTGGAACCTGAAAAGCAGCCAGGCAGGCATTCTGAACCGACTCAGCACTGAAGCGCTCCTACTGCGTTCTTTGTCAGAAACCTCACCTCTTTTGTTTTGTTTCTATGGATTGAACCTAGGGCCCCACACATACAGCTCCAACCTCCTTCCCTCCTCTTTTTCGAGACAAGGTCTTACTAAGTTGCCTTGAACTTGCAATCTTCCTGCCTCAGCCTCCCAAGTATCTGGGATTATAGGCCTGAGCTACCAGACCTGGTCTTGTATTTTAAATACATATTTTTTATTACCAAGTAAACTTATTAAGTAATAATGTTCTCATTTTCCCTTAATAAAGAGAGAGAGAGAGAGAGCCCTATGTCCTAATCACAGGTTTTTGCCCTGTGTGTGCTAATCACACAGTGACACTGGCTACAGGATTCCAGCCCAAAGCAAAGCCAACTGATATTTAACTTTAGCCATGTGACCTTACACTGGGTAAGCACAGGCCTCTCAGGATTACTACACTGATCCTGAGAGACAGACTCCAGGGAAGATGCTGGGGGGTTGGGGGATAGGGAACACAACATCTCATCTAGACCAGTTCTGCACTGTGCAAAGAAACAAAGCCCCCAGAGACAGGCACCCCAAGGCACTTTTACTCCAGGACTTCTGCTCAGAGCTCTCCATGCAGCTCTTGGTCACCCAATCCCAGCCTCCCCACCCCCCTGCTACCTCCAGATAAGAACTGGACAGGCCTGCTGGACCCAGGCATGCATACCTGCTGCCGCTCCACGGGAGTGAGGGTAGGCGAGAGGCCAGCAGGCCTGGCGGTGTCCCCACTGTTCTTGGTCAGTGCAAGGGGCTGCTCCATTAGGCTAGGGAGGGATGCATACAGGTGGCCACCATGCAGGCTCACGGCAGGGGCTGTGGCCCGCTCGATGGGGCTGCGGCTGCGCTCCCGGGGATCTCTACGGCAGTCTCCGTTGGCAGTCTTGTTCCTGAAAAAAGGGAGTTTAGATGAGGATGACTGGTAGTTTCTGGGACGCAAGGGGCACTCTGGTGATGAGCCAAGCATTCCACACACACACACACACACACCCCACCCCGGATCTTTCTAAGACATTCTTACTCTGATGCTCAGGGCAGGACTGAAGGGTGAGCTGAGAACCAGGCCCTCGGCCCAGAGTTGATTTTGCATTTTCCCCTTATACCTGTTCCCCAGCCAGAAGACAATCCCTCTGCAACACTGCCTTCATACATCCCAGATCAAACTGCAAGTACTTAAAGACAGCTCAGTTTGAGGAAGGTCAGGATGGGAAGGGTGAAGACCCAAAGAAACCTAACACTTCCCACAGCACATGTGGTCCTAAGCAAGACAGGATAGAGCATAACCACCTTCTCTTCTCTAGACAGGACACTAGACGCCAAGCAGTGAGTAATCAGCTCAGCTCTAAGTAGGGGTGGCCTCTGTTCTGGTGTTCAGCTCTTGGACCCAGACTCCACAAGCAGTGGAAGCTGATAGAGACAGCGGCCTTCACCATGGTCCTAGGTGCCTGCACGTTTCATGGATTATGGATCACGGGCCAGGCACCCAATGCTCCCTGGGATGCATCTGCATCCTTGGCAGAGGCTGCATGGACTGGACCACAGGCCAGGTGCTCAGTGCTCCCTGGGATGCTACTTGCTCTACAGCTGACTACACACCACACAGCAGAGGTGTGCTGAGAACGTGGCAAGGCCCAGCCTACAGGAGGCCATACAGGCTATTCCAGACCCAGCTCTGCCCTTCTCCCCACTGAGTCTAGATCCATCATCACAGCATTTCACTTAATAAAGAGATGGCTCTGAGATGAGCACAGGGAAGAGGGGAATGATGGGACAGTCAGTATCCCACACAGCAGTTTTACAGGAAGCCACCAGTGGGAGAAGGGAGGGCTGAGGACTTGGGACTGTGTTGTATTGGTTCTTAAAATTCAAAGTTAATTGGCCACTAAGAAAAGCATGGCTGTCACACCCATGCACTTGTGTACAGTACTAACCATTGAATTCAGCCAGTCTAGCAGTCAGGTGTGGCTGCTTTTCAGTCGAAGGCTGAAAAGGCCCACCTCTCTGCTGGTAAGGAGGCAGCCAAGCACCACTACTGGCAGACTTGGAGAACTTTTTTTTTTGTCTTTTTGAGACAGGGTCTCCCTGTAGTCCCAGCTGACCTGAACTCACTATGTAGACCAGGCTGGCCTTGAACTCACAGAGATCCACCTGCCTCTGCCTCCCGAGTGCTGGGACTAAAGGCGTGCACCACCACACCCGGCATATTATGTTTCTTAAAGACTTGAGAATTATCACCCACACTTTCTTTTAAAAGGTTTTCTCCTTAGTTATGAAAGCTTACCAGCAGCGGGTTAAAGGGACAGAACTAGCTGCAAAGTGCAATAAGGACTGGTGATCTTGAGATTGAGGGAACTGACTGCCAGGTTGTCCAAGCCTTCTTGCCATCCGAGGTTAAGCCCTCCTCATGTCCTCCAGCCATCCCTCTGCCAGCTCCGGCTGTACCGGTTGCCTGTTGCAGGGTGCCTTGGAAACCATAGTATGCCCTGGGATTTCAGTCCTTGCTAGATTGTAGGTCTGTGAGAAGACAGGGGATCTGACTGTAACTGTTCCCAAGTTGGCTCAGGTGAAATCAGTTGAAAATGTCCACTCTGACCTATTCAGTGTACTGAGTGTCGGCCCTGTTTGGTGGTGGGAGTGGGGGTGGGATGGTATGAGGGAAGCAATAATTAGCAACAGAAATAGAATTTTCTCTTTAGCCAAATGCTAACACTAGAGACCCTATGCTAATAGTGTATTCAGAATTGTGTCCTGCTTAGGGAAAAGCCAGCATACCAGTGGCCAGTGGAACATCTCTATTCTCCAGGAGGTGGGTACCAGGACTATTTCCTAACCATGGCTGCCCCAGAGCTTCCCGAGCTGCAGTGGGGGCATCCTGAACCCTCCCTGGGCTGTGAATGGGCCCCAATGTGAACAGAGCTCACCTAGTCTACACAACATGCATCTGTTCTTGGGTCCCTGGGTCCCCAGACATTCGCTAGAGGAACCACTAATGCCCTCTGCATCATCAAAGAAATATGAAGCTATAGTTTTGAGCTGTCCCTGTTTTGGTAATGCTCTCAGGAAACGAGAAAGGAAGATGGCGCATAAACTAAAGGCTGTGTGCTGCCATCTGGCCACCCTGGGCCAGATAATCCAAGTGGAGGCTCCATTTTCACTGTGACCCACACCACACTAGTACATATGTTATGGTCAGTTCTGTTCCAAGACCTTGAAAGGGGTCCTTACCATGGGCACACCATCGTTCAGGAAGGCTCTGGGCGGAAGTACAAAAGCACTGGCAGGCAGGGCATGCAGAACTGAGGCTGACAGTGGAGTATGAGGCATGTCTGCTGCTTGGGCGTGAGAGTATGGAATCCATCTGAAGACTGCGGACACCTGACAGTCCACGTGTCAGCTCTTAGGCCACTAGTCCTAACCATACTCCGACCTCTCACACCTATGCCCCCGCGGCACTTTCACATGGTTAAGCACGGTCTCTGCAACTGGGCTAATGGACCACCCAGGCTCCCCACCTAGGAAAACAGTCAACACTGCTGTGGGGCATGGCACATCATACAAAGATGCCGTGAGACACAGAAAAAGTCTGAGAACTCACTGGCTAACTTCAGTGAAATTATACATCACTCGTATTTCCAGCTCCTTTTCCTGGTTCCTGGAGCTTACAGACAGACATTGTTTTCCAGGTCCCTCCCCCTGCATGAATCACAGTCCTGCACATCCTGTCTGCTGTCAGGACCCAAACCACACACATCCTGCCTCTCCTTAAAGACCAAGTTGGTCAACAGAAAACCAACAAGGGCCCTGCTAGGGCCTGAGGACTCACAGGCTCCAAGTGAGGGCCTGCCTAGGTGCATCCTCCGTCTTGAGAGGGCACTTCCCCCACTGTTTTAGGAGAGAAACAGTAAAGACTGACCAGTGAGGAGAGACCACTACACTCATCCAGGTCAGGTTTTCTGGGGTGAGATACACATGCTCCCGAATGCTCTCTGAGCTCAAAAACCAAAGAAACCAAAAGGCTGACAGCATTTTGGGAAAGTAAATTGGATTCCAGGAAGTACAACTCTGAAAATACATCATGTGGTTTTTAAAAAAAAAAAAGAAACCAAAAAAACAGTGTCTGGCAGGAACCAGGCATAGACCTGAGGGCAAGGATAAGGGTCTTCCCACTTAACATTCTGAAAGGGTAGAAGCTAAACACCTGACCTGGATCTGAATTCTACAGCATGGGCAGGGATAAAGTATTTTTTGTGTTTTTGAAGAAAGCATCCCACTTCATCTCAGCACACAGGATACATCCTGAAGGTGAGAGAATGGAGTGACCTGATGCCAGTCTAAGCTAGCGCCTCTATGTTGGGGGCAGACCCGTGAGGATGGGGCCAAGTCAAAGCCCTTTCCTGTCACAAGCCTTTCCATAATCCAATACTAGGAAAGCCCTCTACAGCTAAGCCACAGTCCAGCCTTGACACTGGGTGTTGTTTCCAGTCTCCAAAAGCTTCCTCAGGGATGTGTTTAAACATGGCTGAGCCGGCACACAGCATACTCCGTGTGGTTGCAATTTTTAAAAATAAGTATTTAAAAACCCTCTGACCTCCAACCATTACTTCCTGAGTCCTGGGGCCTCTGATGGGGAAAGGACAAGCAGCACCATGTTAAGAATTCTGTCTGAGGCCTGACTCGGCCTCAGCAGCCCACCAGGTCCCCCCTATTACCCTCAAGTACCTACCTCCTGCCCCAATACCAGAGAGGGACACCTGGCTCCCAGAGGTGAGATACATCAGGGCCTACCACACATGCTTTTGCAGCAAATCAGTGAACAAGTGAATCATTAAAGCTCAGATATTATGTGTGAGTCCTGCTAAGAACAGCTGTGGTGAATGAAAGGGAAATTAAGGACATTTTGGAGGAAATTACCAGCAGAAAAGGATGTTGTCTAAAGGAGACTTGAGAGCTTCAGGCTTGGGCTAGGCAGTAATCAGGTATTTGCTGCCTTCAGCTGCAGCCCTCCTTGCTCTTCTAACCATCCCCAATCCCCAGCTCGTACCCCCCCCTCCAGCACACACAAGAGGTGCGACCTCATCTAGCCTTAACTCGTGAGCAAGAAACTTTGGGGCTCCCCAGGCAAGCATGAGGCACTAGGAGTGGCTTAGACATCCTAGTCAGGGTTTTCCCCTTCTCTGTTCCCATCCCACAGGGGAGCTGGAGGCAGCCACAGGAAGATACTATCCTTGACACAAGGTGACAAGAGGTGTGTCATGAGCAGTAAAGGGCTGGGGAGGCTCCAGACCCCCCCCCCAAAGTCACAGCCAACCTAGAGGCTGTCTGCTTCAACAAGAATCATGTTCTCAGTGGGGACACACGATGGAGACCTTGTCCTCTGTGCCTCCAACAGCTACCACCACAGTGTCAATCCTGAAGAAAGCCCCACTCCTACCCTCGCCCCAAAGCAAACAGCCCAACCAGGCTGGCTAACATAACATTTGCTGTCTCTCTTTTCTGCTTATTGAAATTTCAAAACTCAACTCCAGAGAACTAAAAGCAACATGTCTCATTCGCTCTGCCACGGAAAAGCTGGGAAACCTTGGGTGGAGCTGCTAGAGCAGTGCCGTTAGAACCGGGATCCCCCACAGGCCTCTCATGATGGGCCTCGGCTTCAGAGAGGCTCAGGCACTATCTGAAGTGACCTAGCTGGCTCAGTGCAGCGTTCCAATCAAATCTCTAAAAACTCCTAACTCGGGGGCAGGGGGAGTAATGCATTTCTTAGCCATTTCACTCTTTCTTATGAGGTGTCTTCCATTTATGTTATGGGTTGACTGGGGTTTCCTCCAAAGATGTGTGACTAGAACTAGCAAGGCAAGGTCATCGGGGCCATAACCAATTCCACTGGTGTTTG